TGCTGAGATGGGGACTGGCCAGCAGGGAGAGGAAGCTTCCCAGCTGTGTCTCTTCCCTCGGCTGGGGAAAGTTTCTCCAATTCTCTTTTGGGTAACAGAATCGTCTCTTCATAATAATGGAGAGAGACACCGAAAAGCCTGGGTTTCTATAGCACTGAGCTAGACAGTTCCCAGCACACACAACCAGAGCAGTCCCGTCCATTGGATGGGTCGGGGCAGCCACCCTGGACCTCAGGCTTTGGGGGACACCGCAGGGCCCAGAATGGCCTAGGCAGTTACCACGGGGCCTGGTGCCGGGACCAAGGGTTAAGCCCACCCCCCCTCCCCCGCACTCATCAGCGGCAACAGGAGCAGAGCGACCCAGCCCCAGCCACAGCCTGCCCCCCTCCCCCGAGTGACGTGGCTGGGAAGCATGTGGCAAGCTGGGGACAGTTCACTTCCCTTCCCACTGCCTTGGTGAGTGCAGGGGAGCCCAACCCCTGATGCCAGTGCCAGGCCTCCCAGTAATGCCTCGGTTCACGTCACTCATGGGAGGGGGCTTAGGAGAAGGGGTGCAATGGGGGTTGAAAGAGGCAGGGCAGGGGCAGAGTTGGGAGTTGTTCCAGGCCCTGTAATCCTTTAAGGACAGCCCTGAGCTCAACTTAGGAACTTCAACATTGAAGTTCCCCCTCCCTATCATGTTAACTTGGCCCCTTTGCACTCACAGAGGCAGTGTTCAGGGTTGTATTTGGTGCTGGTAAAGGTGCACTTGAATGCTGTGACACAGCACTAAGGAGGTTAAGGACTAGTCGACTATCAGCAGACTCTAGACTCTATCAGCAAGTGGCAGCGCCGCACAGCTGAGCCCGGGATCAGCTGAGCGGTGCCGCCCCTTTGAAATGCCATGGTAGCATTTCAAAGCGGCAGCGCCGTGCGGAGCCCGAGGCCATTGCCTTTCCATGGAACCCAGGATCAGCTGGCAAGCAGGGGCATTTCAAAGCGGCAGCACAGCATGGAGCCCAGGGTCAGCAGGGGACTGTGAGTCTTCCCACTGGCCCCGGGCTGCACACAGAGTTCCACATTCCTCCTTTGAAATGTACAAGAGCTCCAGCAGGGGCTCTTGTACATTTCAAAGGAGCAATGTGGAAGTGCCTATGGACTAGTAAATTAACCAATATTTAACATCCTTACATAGCACATGGTATTTACCAGCCCTGGAGACATTTCATTAATGAGCAGATGACCTCCGAGAGCCATGTAAGAATTACAGGTAACTTGAAATCCTCGTTTAAAAAAAGCAACACCCCAAAACTGTAGTCCTACATAATTAACAGATTTTATTAGTTAAAATGTGCTGTAACAATACAGTAAAATCTCTGTTACCCAGCATGTTGGGAGAATGGGGGATACCAGTTAATCAACTATTCTTGTTAACTGAGAATTGTACGTTACCAGTGGAATACCAATTTTCGCAGCATTAGGATACAATAAAATGAATAAAGTATATTCCTTTTATACAGGTACTAGTATACAGGTACTAGTATACATTTTATAGCATACCAGTATACAGGTACTCACCAATCCAGTCGTAGTACTGCACTGCACTGTGGTTGATTTCTTGAAGTGTTTATATGTATACAGTTAAAGTTTTCTATACAGTAGGTTATCTTACGACACTACATATCACTATCGGCAGTGCATAGTGTACACCCAGATCACTAACAATACACCTAACACAAAACTATACTGACTATAATTTAATCTTTCTTTGATGATTCAGAAGGCACTTAGGAATCTTGCAGTGCCTCAGGGCCATCATTATCAATATCAATTATCACTGTAGATGGAGAAGATACAGAAGATTGAGCTGAATCTGTAATGATTCTATGACACACCTGGTGTTTTGAATAATCCCTGCTATCAGCTTGCTTTCTTGTCTTCTGCCTCTTTTAATAAAAGTAGAGTGCAGAATGTGCTGTTGCATAATGTACTGGGTTGAATACTAGCTTGAAGATTTGTATTTGGAGCAATCAGAAATGCTGGTTAATAAAGCTTTCCTGTTGGTAAAGTACTAGCTAACACAGCTTTAACTATATTCAGCACCTTTTTGTTTTCAAAGCAAGCTGTAACTAATCCTCCATCATCTCTGCCATCTCTTTCTTATTATGACACTTAGCATATGTCTACATTGGGAAGGTTGGATAACAAGAGATCTGTCCACATGCAAAAGTTGCCAAAAGTAAAAACTGATCAAACCATTTTTTCTACTTCCCATTGTCTACATTTCATGGCCACAATGTTAGCACTCTGTTGACAGTAAGAATCAGTCAAACCGGTTTTTCTGTCTCTTTTTTCCCCCTGACATTTCATGGCCACATTGCTAACACCCTGTTGACAGACAGAGCCAATGAGGCCATGAGCATACCACAGTGCAGTGTTGCGGGAAGGCAGAACTGATCCCAGTACTTCTTGTTGATTCCCTCCAAGTTCTTCCGTGGGGTTCTCAGCTGTATCATGAATAGCTCTGTGAGCTCTCATGCTGAGGAATGGCAGAGTAGCAAAGCAGTCTCCCTAGCCCTCCACCTGCAGCAGCAGTCTGTCTGCCGCTGTGCTTTTAGTGTAACTCTGCTATCATGCCTATATTCTCTCATTCTGATGATCTGGAGAGAGGAAACCATACCCAGTGAGATCAGAGACTCCATCATAGTGACCATCTTTAAGAAGGGTGACAGGACAGACTGTGGAAATTACCAAGGGATCTCCTTGCTCTCAACCGCAGGTAAAATTCTCACCCGAGTCCCTCTGAACTGCTTCCTTCCACTGGCTGAAGAGTCCTTCTGGAGTCACAATGCTGTTTCTGACTGGGACGAGGAATTACCGATATGATCTTTTCTGCTCACCTAATACAAGAGAAGTGTCAGGAGCAGCATCAGCCTCTGTATATGGCATTCTTCAATTTGACGAAAGCATTTGACTCTGTCAACCACGAGGCCCTCTGGAAGATCCTGTGATACTTTGGCTGTCCACCAAAATTTGCCAGTATTATACATTTCTTACACAGCAACATGCAGGCCGTGATTATCAACAATGGTGATGCAACTGAACCAATCGACGTAAAGACTGGAATCAAACAAGGGCGGGTGGTAGCATCTACGCTATTTAATATCTTTTTGGCAGCCATGCTTCAGATGATTGGAGATGACCTCACAGGTGGAATTGAAATAACTTATAAAACGAATGATAACCTCTTCAATTTGGGCCACTTCAGAGCCAAGAACAAGACTGCAACAACATCAGTGGCAGAACTTCAGTACGCTGACGATGCCCAGGTTAGTGCCACCTCAGAAGATGGGCTCCAAGCAGTTGTCAATGTTTTCGCCATGGCTTACCACAGTTTAAGACTGACTCTCAGTGCTCAAAAGACTGAGGTTCTCTTTCAGTCAACCTTTATCCGAACCAAACATTACGGCAGATGACCAAGTGCTGGAGCTATCTGTCCAGCAATGTTGACATCAATGATGAAATCCACCATCGAATCTTCAGTGCCAGCACAGCTTATGTACATTTACAGAGCTGAGTCTTTGATGATGATCATGACATCAAGACGCCGACCAAGATTGACGTCTACAGTGTTGTAGTCATCCCAACATTGCTGTATGGAGCTGAAGCCTGGACTCCCTATAGATGACATATTAAAGATCTGGAGAAATTCCACCAGTGGTATCGGAGGAAAATATTGGGCATCACATGGAAGGACAGATGGACCAACATTATTACATTGACTCTTGCAGCATTGAGTCAATAATTGCCCACAGGCAGCTACAATGGTCTGGTCACATGGTCAGGATGCCTGGCACACATTTGCCTAAACAGATTTTTTATGCTCAGCTGGGGACCAGGACCAGGTCTCAGGGTGGGCAGAGGAAGCATTATAGAGATGTTCTTAAGAACACCTTGGTAAAGTGTGGCATTGATCCTGACACCCGGGAGAGGCAGGTGAAGGATTGGGTAACCTGGAGGATCAACATCAAGAACGGTTCCCAACACTTTGAGATCAAGTGACATCTCCATGAAGAAGATCAGAGAGTCCGACATAAGAAGCGTGCCTGGGCCTGTATTGGCACCACTGTGTTGGCACTGCTGGACACAGGGACCTCACATCATGCAGCCACTCCCAGAGAGTGTTCCTTGCCAGAATTGGCCTAATTTCTCATCTATGTACTCATCAGTTATAGGCATCAAAGGGGAAATCTTACTCACTTCAAGGGATCCCAGAGAGACTGAGAGAGAGAGTGCAGGGCAGAACAGGAACATTCCAATGGTTTATTCTTTGTTTGTTCCCCAAACAGAGCAGCTCACTCAGCTCTCAGATCTTTCCCGGAACTTTGAAGGCAGGGAGGGGGAGGCACATGCCTGCAAGGCAGCAGAGATCAAAGCTGAGCAGGCATCAGGGCAGGCATTGTGTGTGGGATACCCTCAGAAGCCAGTTCTGTCGACAAAAGAAACAACAGTCTACACTGGCTATTTGTCGACAAAGGGAAGGGAAAAGACAAGTCTCTCGTAAGGATGGAAGTGTTTTGTTGCCAAAACTGGGTGTTTTTCCTGACGAAATTTCTTTGTAGTGTGAATGCTCTCACAGTTTTGGCAACAAAAGGCAGTTTTTGGCAACAAAACTTAATAGTATAGACAAAGCTGTAGGCCTATAACTCTGGTCTTGTCTCTTGTACTAGCTGCCTGCTTTGTCAGTTCTGCCAACCTCAATACCTTTTTTTTTCTTTTGGCCATTGCCTACTATTGAAGTCTTTACACAGTTTTCCATGATGCCTTTTATGCATGGACACCCCACCCCCCAATAATTTGTATTAAAAAAAGGACAATAACAACCTCCCATGCAAAAAAAACCAAAACCCTAACCTTCTACATTATGTTCTCTCTGAATTGTAGGAGCATCTTCTGTGAACTCAGAGTATTTCTTTGAGGGCTAGATCCTGCAAACACTTATGCATGAATGTAACTTTAATAACATGATTACTCCTGCTGATATCAATGAATAAATTATTCACATGAAGACTGTGTCTTTAGATTTCAAATAGAGCTGTTCAATACAAGTTGGATGAAAATTGATGGGGAAAATTCAGAACGGATTATTTCAACTTTCTTATTCCATTTCAATAACATGAAATGTTAAGTTTTGATAAGATTCATTTTGTGTTGACTTTTATATTGTATTTAAATTACTTTTCATATTACATGCAATATTGTATATTACATGTACATTACATGTATATTACAATGGTTCAACAATATATAAATGAAACAGTTTTATGGTTCTGAATCAAAAGTTTTCAACATTTCTGTTCTGTGGAAAATTTTGGGTTTTCAGTCTGATTTGTAATGAAAAAAAATTGAAATGTCAGAATTCTCCATGCAGTGGAAATTCTGTTTTCTGACCAGCTCTAATTTTAAGACCTTGGATTAGGGACAATCTTTGCCTTTGTGTTTTGTGTCTCAGTGAGCACATTTTCAATGCTAATCTGTAAAAAATAAACAATAATAATTTTGAAGACTACATAACTGTAGGCAAAGATTAAATCCCAATCTTGCAATGAACTCCATAGGGATGACAGGAAGAGCCCTTTTGATTTAATTGAGGATCCACGTGGAATAGGGGTGAGCCCACACATATCTCAATGTAGGATTGTGTCTAAATTACTTAGCTATCACCATAGAGTCAGTGTCAGCACAAGAAGCGGAGCTCAGAAAGTTCCCTGCTACACCATTAGCTCACACGGTGCACCTCCAATAAAATGCATTTATTTGTGACATTTAAAATAAAATATTTAAAATAATTTTATTGCAAGTTTAGGGTTTTGTATCTCCTGTGGCACAGATGATGACAGACATAACGAATTCCAATGGTTGGAAACTAAGGCTAGACAAATTGGGACTAGAAAGAAGGCATACATTTTTGATAGGCGAAGATAAAAGACAAAATTACCAAGGGGCATGGTAGATTCGCACCCACCTGCAGTCCTTTTAAGTTAAGAATGGATGTGTTTCTAAAATATCTGATATTGCTCAAACAGAGAGTATAGGCTTGATTCAAAAATTAGTGGCTGATATTTTATGGTCTGTGTTACACAGTAGGTCAGATTAGATTATCAGGTTTTAAAATCTATGAATCTATGACAATTCTTTGCTCTGTTTATGTGTTTGTTGACCGTTCTATTTACACCTATTATGGGATCCCATCTAAGAATAAATATCTTCACAATTAATTTTAAGAGAATTTCTAAATGCAAAGAAAGACTTTCTGCAAAAGTAGAAATCCTGCAGATTCTGTGACATATTACACAATTCATGAATTAGCAAGTTTAGAAAGAATTATCCCATCAACAAAATGACAAATGTGGTGCACTTTAAGGCAGCTGGTCAGATTACCCGGAGATTCATGACTGATGAATCCTGAATGAAAGAAAAAGAATGCTTCAATTCTTATCTTTCATACTTGCCATTTTGGGTATTGTCCCCAAAGAGCAGATGGAGATAAATATCTAATTGAATGTAGCTGTCTATAGTCTTGTATGGCTCACACTATGTAGTATCCAAGTGTGTTGCTCACACAAACAGGATCTGGATATTATTTAATATAATAAACACTGTGTTTTCTTTTCTCTGTAAGTTGGCCTAAATTTTTAGAAATGACTGATGATTTGGGGTTCCTCAATTTTTGAGGCACCAGATTTGAGCCACATTAAAGGGGCCTGATTTTTATAAATTGAGATCCCTTTAAGATGTCTTAAGTTGGAGATTTAGAAATCAAGGCAACAAACCTCCCTTGTGAATTACGAAAGTTTAGTCTGCTGCATTTAATTCTTGTGTGTTTCTTGAAACCTTATGTGTTTCTTAAAATAGGTCAAAACCATAAAGGTGTAAGCAAAGAAAAAATAATTCACCCTCAAAAGAACTGCAGGAACTTAAAGTCAGATCCTAAGAGGTGTAAAAGCTTGTTCACCTTTAAAATATATTTGGAATGTTTACAACAATGTACATGTTACATTTATATTCCGTTAGGGTATGTCTGCACTTGTCCCCTACTTCGAAGTAGGGGGCAAGTGTAGACATACCCTTACTGAGCTTGTGTCTCTAACAATATAATCAATTTTAATGGCTTTAAACAAAAATTTACCTTTAAATGGATTTAGGATCCAAACATATGTCTAATTAGTTCATTGCAAAGTAAGAGTTAATTCATGAATACAAACAGCTAAATAAAGGTTGCAATTTGAGTAGAATTATTTAGGGCTCAGAATGAAATCTGGCATTTGCAGTCTGTTACTCGTTTTAAAAAGGCTGGCTCTACCACCCGGAGATATCCTGCTGTGAATGTGTCACTGAGGAAGGGGACCACTTCCCTGGACTTTATTCATATAAAAGCAGAAGTAGGAGCTGTAGATAGAAGGTAACACAGAGGTATACAGACTGAGGAGCCTGGGGAATGGTTCATGGGTATGAATGAGCATCTCTGTGAGTTTAGCTGAGTGAAAAGGCGTGTTTTTGTTGATATTGCCATTTTCCCCAGGACAACTGAAGAATTCATGTTAGACCATCACACAGCACCTTCCCCCTGAGAAGAGAAGTACGTCCTGGGCTATGAGGAACCATGTACCTCTTGAGATCCACTGGTTGAGTATCACTGTCTTAGGGTGTTATCCAGTTTTAAATTAAGCACCCTCAAATCCCACTGCAATCCTTGGGCACTGAGGCTGCTTGTCTCCTTACAGGATTTGGCCCTGAATGTGTATGTGAGGTGGGACTCAGCTAAAAATGCTGCGAGAAACTTAAATTTAAAGGACCTGACTTTAAGATGTTGCACTAATATTGTGTCTTGCATTGAAGTTCCTCATTGTGCTCATATAAGAAAAACACATGATTGATTACATAGTGAAATCAGGGTGCTTCATGTGTTAACTTCACTAAGTTTAGGCAACCTTTAAAATACCCAGTGATGTGAAGTAGCAGATATTCAGAGGAGAAAACAGGAAGAAATCATGCTTCCCATGGCATGCCAAGACAGCAGAATCATTTAGGATGACTGGGAGGGTATTTCTAGGAGCAATGGCATGAAACTGAGCTAAGGGGATTTTAGCATGAATACCAGGAAATATTTTCAAAAGGTTGAAATCAACTGGATGGTGGAATAATCTCCAAATGGAAACCCCCTTGTTTGATATATTTGAATTTAAACTTGACCACATATTGGAAAATATATTAGAGGAGCAATCCTGTATTAGCAAAAGATCGAGCAGATGACCTATTAGATCTTTGCCATAGATAATTTTCATTGTTTTATAATTCACCAGGGGTTATATTTTTCTAAGCAACTTAGAGAAACTTGAGAGAGAGAGAGAAATTGTTCTTTGAGAGAAGGAAGAAAAAAAAAACAGAGAGAAAATTGACATAAACTGGGATGTTGCTTCCCTCAATACACATGATACAAATTAGAGCAGCAAATGAAGCTTCCAAAAAAAAAAAAAAGAGTGAGGAAAAGTTGCCACCTGGTGGTAGCATAAATTCTGCCACCATCAAAACCTCGAATGGCTGGATTTTTAAAGATGTTTAGGCACCTACATACTTTTAAAATTCTGGCACTTAAGTCAGTATTTTTAAAGAAGGGCACCTAAAGGTGTGAGCCTAAAATCCGTATCTACACACATAAATAAGAACTTACTTCTGCAGCATAGTTAAACATGCCCAACTTTAAGCATGTGAGGTGTTCCATGTACAATAATGGGACTACTAATATGCTAAAAGTTAGATGCATGCTCCATAGCTGACGTGTGGCCAAAAAGAGGATTGTCAGAGATGCTGAGTATCTGTCATACTCACTTCTCTGAAAATCAGGCCACGTTTATTTAGGTCTGTAAATATGGATTTAGATGCCAAACTTCACATACTCTCATTTGAACATTTTTGATCTATGGAAAGAATTGCCTCTCTCACTGGAAGAAGGCTCCTGACTAGTATTCTATAAGGACCTGGCCATCTTCAATCAGACAAAGGAATCTGCATTCAACACAATTGTATAGTTTAAGAATCTAAGGATGGTGGTTGTGGTTGTGGTTGTGGTGTCCAAATATACAGTACTGCTGCCAATTAACTTGAAAAGAAGTATATACATAAGAGCAGCCTCTGCAATAGCTAGGACTAAAGTGATCTAAGGGCTATCCATCCTCCTGCTTCAAGATATAAGGGATCAGGAGGAAATTATAGTATTGAACATGTAGAGGCATTGTGGCATTTTTATTAACATCACTATGGTAGTTTGGACATGGAATGTGCCATGCACATGCCACATATTATTTTACTGTATATCTACCTCTCCAGCATGTAGCGATGTGATTGGTAAGAACTGAGATCCCAGACTAGCTAGATAGGCCATGGCTTTGTTTGGAGGCAAGAGAGTTGGTAAGAACTGAGATCCCAGACTAGATAGGCCATGGCTTTGTTTGGAAGCAAGAGAGTGGGCTAGCTACACACAATCCCTTTTGATGCCCCTGGGCAAAGCTGGAAGACTCACCCACTTTGTACAAGGACTCCTCCTTACCCTCAGACAGACAGATGAACATGGTGTGTTCAGGCTGACGGGTACTTTTCTGTAATGAAGTTCTACCTTAAAACAAGTTCCTTATGTTCTTTACTGGCTGTTTGACGTATTCCTTCTGCCGTTGAGTTATTTCTTTTAAATTAAAATTGGAAGAGGTTGTGAAAGGTGCTGAATTGATGTCTCTTGGAACCTCAAATCTCCATTCTCACAACAAGTGCAGAGCACCTCTGTACTCTCTCCCTGCCCTTTTCCCTCCACGTGCCTCAGTTCTGCCAAGGAGAATAGAACTCTAAGGATCAAGGGAGTCCCATTTCCAGGCCCATTCAGTCCCTTGTCACTCTGTTGTGATTGCCAACAATGGGACTAGTTAGTGCCAATGGTGGTGGTTGTAGTCTGAGAACCTCCAGCTCATCTTGTATAGGTACCAAACATCTATCAGACAGGAGTAATTGGAATCTCCTCTGTATTATATTGAAACGTGTTCCCCGCTGAATGCAGGTCACTCTTTGCGCTTAATCCCAGCATGCAACACCAATCTGTTCCTGTATAATCTCCCAGAACAGCTGTGCCATGATTGCATTGTGGATTATAAAATGTCCATTTCTCTCAAAACAGCTGCTGGCTGGAAGGGAGAGCATTTAATAATCACAGGGCATTGGGGGGCTGGGTGAATTTGGGAGGAGATGAAGGAGAAAGAGCATTAGAAACCGTTTGTTGTCTTGAAAATCTAGCTGATAGATGCAGGAGAGAGGGAGGCAGAGTCCTACAGCTGTACCATCCACAAACTTACAAGAGCACTTCAAAAATCCACCAGCAAGGTAAATTCTCCTCTGCTTTATCTCGGGAGGTTAGATACAGAGGCTGTCCAAATGCCAGAAGTTGTCTGACCAGTTATTGGCAATAAGTATTTGGCTTTAGTAGAAAGAAAGTTTTCTGGGTGTGTTTGTTTGAAGTTGCCTTCTCACTTCCCTAATCAATCCCTCTCACTTCTCTTTTCTAGATCCCCCTGTCACCACCATTTTCTGCCCCTTTTCCTTCCCTTTGCCCCAGCCCTAAGGATTTTAGAAAATTATACAGATTCTAAGATACTGACTTTTTTTTTCTCATGGAAAATTTGGATGAAAACAAAAAAAATTGTTTTTGCCAACATTCTTGCAATAATAATGATTAATTTTATATCCCATTTTAGCAAGTGTAAACAGAATAATTTTTACCAAAAAAAAAAGTGCTGAAAACTAAAAACTCGGTTTTCAGTGGAATATTTTCAGTTTTTAGGTTTTCTATTTGCAGATGAAAAACAGGATTTTTTGAGGAAAAACAGACACTTTCCACTAGCAAACAAAACAAAACAAAATAATAAAACCTATTCTCTTGATAACCTTATCTTCATCAGAAAAAAGTGTTACTGGATTTTTTTTTCTACTAGCCTTGGCTACAAACCCTTAACTAATTCTGCACAGATGTCAGTCATCTGCTTCCTGGACACGGTAAAGTCAAACATACCTTCAGATTACAAGATTGAATGAATAATGTTAGGGATGGCAACACCTTTTCTAGTGCCATTGACGAGGCAGGTTGCTGAGTGGAGTCACTCAAGAAGAGGGAACAGAAGCTTGAGCAATAGATTCTGAAGGGCGCAGGAAGGCATTCTCAGAAGTAGGGTAGTTTCTTACCTTTGCTCAATGCATTCTGCTTGGGCACATTTGTGCCTCCAGCAGTGTTTTGAGGCTGCTATACACAGTGGCATGTAGCGTACAAACATTGCACATCCATTACCACAGGGATACATGGCCATGGATGTGACGAGGTGCAGCTTAGGTGAGTAAAGACACACCAGAACCCGAGGGTACGTACTCTACTCAGTCTCTTCAGGCAGTGCCTCCTACGTCTACACTGTAGCCTCCTTCTACTCAGTGCTGCCAAAGCTCTTCCCCACCACAGAGAAAAACTTGGACACAGGGGAAAGTCTGTTTGACAGATCTGTCTGGGTTGAGGTAGACAGTGCTTGTTCCTGCTGTGAGTGCAGAGGACTGGACTTGATGACCTCTCAAGGTCCTTTTCGGTTCTATGATTCTATGAACTCTATACATGGTAAGCAGCACAGCTGGAGAAGGTCTTTGAAGCGGGTCTTAAACATGGAAAGGTAGGAGCCCTGTCAATAAGCAGCAGAGGTGCCACAGAGAAAACAGCATTAAAGCAATTATGTGAGAAGCTGGCATCTGGACAGATAACATCTAAGTGGTCTACAGAATGTTTTGATGGGCGACCTCAAGAGAAACCTCCAGACTCTGAGGAAAGTGGGGAGGATTATTCAGCAGGGGTGCCCTTCCTTCAAAGAGAGAAGCAGCCCCATGGTCAGACATGCTAAGATGCTACTGGAGTCACTGGCATTCAAATGAGATGTCACACAGAGGCTTTTAGTGTCATTTAAGAACTTCATTAAACTTTTTGTGAGAGCAGGGACATTGCCATCCTAGCGCCCCACTCAATTTCTGATGTAAGGGCTGGTAACTTCCTTTGAGGGAAGTACTGTCTAGAGCAGTGTTTCTTAAACTTTTTAAGACAGAGGAACACCAAACAATTTTTTTTTTTAATGGGGAACACAAAAGATTTTTTTTTTTGCTCAACAAAAAAAGGGCCGTGGGGAAGTTATTGACCAAAAAAAGAAAGGTTGCCTGTCCCTTTAAGGGTGGCCATTTTGAACTTTTTGAACTCCGTTGTTCTCCACGGCACACCTCCAACTGCCTCGCAGCACTCCGGTGTGCCGCAGAAGAAACACTGGTCTAGTGGGGCATCAGGCTCAGAGTCAGGATTCCTAGGTTCTCTTCTTGACTCTGGTTAATTCAGGTAACCTTTCTCTGCCTCAGTTTCCTTATTTGCAAAATGACTGTAATCATGTTTACCTCTCCCACAATGTGGAGCTAAATTAATTAAACATGTGAAAAAAATGCTATGCAATCCTTTAATAAAATGTGTTAGGGCAGTGCACATTTGCTTTTCTCTGGGATACCATCGTCTTCACCTCTTATCCTAAGTTAGCGCATGGTGTTTCTGGGAGCTGAGTAACTACTGCAGCATGCCAACTCAGATGTGATGGCATTTCAGGGTCCAAATCATCTTCTCAGTTTTGTGCACACTACTCTCACTGGGGAGCAAGATTCCAGTCACTTTGCCACTGAAGGAATATTCCCATTAGTATATTCTCCAGTACCTTTGTTCAGTCCAATTTTAAATGGCTGAAGCAACCACTTATCTCAAGTGACTATTCCATAGTCTAAGGGGTCGTTCTGTGAGGAAATGGTTCCTTATTCCTGAGTGAAGCAATGAGATGTCCGGTTTCTGCTCCTTTTTCTCTCACACCCCCACACTGGTAGGACATGACATAGGCTTAGCTTCTGTAAGGTATTTAGGTTCTGACTGCCAATGCAATCAGTGGAAATGAGGAGTCTACATACGGGTGGGTTCTGAGCCACTGTGCACACTAAGGCTGCGTCTAGACTGGCATGATTTTCTGGAAATGCTTTTAACGGAAAAGTTTTCTGTTAAAAGCATTTTCGGAACAGAGCGTCTAGATTGGCACGGACGCTTTTCCGCAAAAGCACTTTTTGCGGAAAAGTGTCCCTGCCAATCTAGACACACTTTTCCGCAAAAAAGCCCCGATTGCCATTTTCACAATTGGGGCTTTTTTGCGGAAAACAAATCTGAGCTGTCTACACTGGCCCTTTTGCACAAAAGCTTTGCGCAAAAGGGACTTTTGCCTGAACAGGAGCAGAATAGTTTTTCCACAAGAAGCACTGATTTCTTACAGTAGGAAGTCAGTGCTTTTGTGGAAATTCAAGCGGCCAGTGTAGACAGCTGGCAAGTTTTTCCAGAAAAGCGGCTGATTTTCTGGAAAAACTTGCCAGTCTAGACACAGCCCATGGGAGATGCATTGATGGCATGTGAATCTTTCATGTTTATTTATTGCAGATGGAACTGCTGAAGATCCTGCCCTGGCGTCGTGCTGTCTTGGCAGTGGTCCTGAATCTACTGGCTCTCTGCCTTTCTACCACAGCCTTGCTCGGCAGCTACTGGTGTGTTGGGACCCAGAAGGTGCCCAAGCCTTTGTGTGGCAAGGGCAAAGCTACCAAGTGCATTGGTGTGCATGTGTCCATGGACGGAGGTTCTAGCAATTCTTCATCCCACGATGTAGTGCACTACAGCTGGGAGACCGGGGACGACCGCTTTGCCTTCCGATACTTCCACACTGGCATGTGGCTTTCCTGTGAGGAGAACATGGAAGGACCAGGTAGCATCTCCCTCAAGGCAGCCTCAATCTCATTCTTATTACAGCAAATGCCTTTAGTGCCAATGAAAAGTGCTGTGCCAGGCTGACAACAGTGGGGAAAGATGCCTTCTCCACAGCCCCGGAATAAGTTGAGTTGGGGCAGTGCTCACCTCCCTCTGCCCACTCATACCCACACACGGCCCCACCACACTCCATCCCTCAGTGGGAGGAATGTTGGGAGGAACTGAATGGGCCTTGCAGATGAGATGAGACTGCTAACAAAAAAGGACATTAGTGCTATTTGTGGTGGACTGTGGTTTTGTAATGTCTACATCTGTTGTCCCTTCCCATCAGTTTGTGTCATGTTCAGTAGGGGACAGAGTCTGTGTTGTGAGAGAGAGGGTGATGGCTTTATGGACTGACAACTGTTGCTGTGTGCATTGCAAGTACCATGACAGGAGGGTTGTTTTTTTTGAAAGTCCTAGGCCCTGGAGTCCTGTGAATAAGAGAGAATTTCAGCTGTCATGTAGGAAAAAAAAACCCTCAGAGTAGCAGAGAAAAGTGTGCAAATATAAACCCCAAAGGTGCAAAAGCCAGATTGAGTACGTACACGTGGCTTATCTTTAAAAGTTCGTAGTTTGCTATGTGTGAGAGAAAGGACCAAATTATTGAATTTTGAATGTTTGGCTCTGGCATCATGCTTTATGCCCTCTTTGTGCCACCAAAAATCTGCTTGTGCTGGGGGCCGGTATAGTCCTCTCCACCCTCCAGTGCAATTTAGAGTGGTGGTGGCAGGTCTAATTTATGGCAACATTCCCCCAGCTGCCTATGGACTTCTCTGTAGCCCAGAACCTTTTAAACACGCCTCCTATCACCCCAACTTGCTCCCCTTCCTGTCTCAACTCCTGTGCTGGGGCTTTTGTCAGCCCCATGTCACACCTGTTCTGGGGGAATTCTCCCCAAACCACTCTTTATGGCCTGGCATATAGGGGTCAGAACTAGCCTCAGAGGCAGCAAGCAGACAGATTGAAACTAATAATACAGAAATGAAAGATTGTTTAGCCCTTCCTCATTTCTCAGTGACAGGCAACATGCCCCCCACCCCATGCCTCAAAGGCACTTATCACAGAAATTGCTAGTTAAAGAAGGGATCATATGTACTATTTCTCCTTCTATGATCAGTGGGGTCAGTATTTGAAATCAGAGAGGTCACAAATGAAAATAAAGATTGCAATAGAAAAAAACTTCTGTCACTTTCAGGTCTTGATGATGGTTTGCTTTGGGCATTGTCAGCATGGTTCAGAGCAGGGTGCACCTAGGTGGGAACGGGTAAAGTGGTGATTAATTTCCATGGCAATAACGGGAACGAGTTGGGAATGAGACTACATCACTTGACTGAGTTTGAAGGGTTTGCAGAGATGTAATGTGCTTCTTAGCAATATTGGAATAACAGTGATCTGATAGCTTTGGATTTTAGTAATGCATTTGGTAAATATTTTCATGAAATCAGACCCTCAAAATTCATTCAAATTCACTTGAATGTAGCCCCTGTTATATGTCTTTGACTGCAGGATGAAGGACCAGAAACAAAGGATTATGATCAAAGTATTGATTTGGGGGAAGATGCCCCATGGGGGGGGGGCACTGCAGAACTCAGCATTAAAGCCAGTGTTGTTAATAACTTCATTAAAGTCTAGATAAAGTAGCAAAGAGTGAGTTAATGAAATTTGCAGATGGTACTAAGCTGAAAGGAATCCACTGAGAGGAAGGAAATAATACAAAGGGCTTATGGAGATTAGAATTGTGGGCAGAAAATAACAAAATGAGATTCATCTAGGGGGAAAAAAATGCTAGCTAATGTGTCTGGGGGGAGAGAGAATCTGCCCAGGGAAGATTCAGTGGGAAAGAGAACTCTGGCAAGCAGTAATGCTAAAAGAGACTTTAAGGGATTATAATGGATATGTGGATTATACAAAACTTTGCACTGGGATATGGCAGCCAAAAAGGCCAAAGCAATTTTGGACTGTATATGCCTAAGAGGTAGTATGGAGGGGGGATTCAGAGCTTATTTGGGGGGGAAGGTGTCTTATTTTTAAGAGAAGGTGCATGCTTCATTGGGAAGCAGCTGTGCACACAACTTTTTGCGGTACTAGTGGTGAGTAACAGTTCCATGTGCTAAGTGGGAGCTGGCTCCTCACGTGCCTGTTGCATGAGCTCTTTAGTATAGTGGTTTTTAAACTTTTTTTTTCATGACCCAGCTGGAGGGGCTTACCTTCAGCAGCTCACGGTCAGCAGTGCAATAGGGGTGCTGCAGCAGGCGTTTGCTTTTTCTGCCACCGCAAACCATGCTGCATCCCAGAAGCAACCAGTAGCAGATTCCTGGCCAATGGGAATGCAGAGCTAGTGTTCAGGGCAGGGAAAGTGCGTGGAGCCCTGTGTTCTCTCTCCCCCCACCCAGGAGTCAGGCCTGTTGCCGTCTGCTTCTGGGGCGCAACAGAGTCTGTGGTGCCAGGAGAGGCAGGTAGCCTGGCTTAGCACCCCCACTGGTTACCTGTCTGCAATGAGACCCAGTGCCTGACATTCCATGACCCTGTACTGGATCACAACCCTACGGGGACATCTCGTCTATATATGAAAAGAGGATGGGTAGTTTAGAGTTTCATATCTCGTAGTGAAAGAAGTAGCTGCACTGCATGTGGAGATTATGATATCTATTATGGTTTCCTTAGGATAGTTGGAAATTGGAGTTGGAGAAGAGGCACCTCTCTGGGTTGTTTATGAAGAGTAGGGCTATGTCTACACTATGTTTTTTTTCCGGGATACCGCCCAGAAAAACTCTTCTGCATCCAGGGAACACGTCTGCTCTTCTACATTTTTTTGCGGAACAGCAGACGTGCTCTTTCAGAAGCCCTGTCTTCCTCATTCCACAAGGAAGAAGGGCTCTTCTGAAAGAGGAGGTTTTTCCGAAATTTGGCCCAGTGTAGATGGGCCAAATTTCAGAAAAGCCTCTTCCAAAAAAAAAATCAGAAAAAGGTGCACAAAATGCGGAGCACAATTTGCCTACCTTTTTCCGATAAAACCTTGTAGTCTAGACATAGCCTAAGTGGTGTGTGTGGTGAATAGCAGGCAGACAAATGGCACATGAGCCACATCATGAGTTTGAGGATTTTTAGCCAATACTGGAAAATCATGAAATAGGATACTGAGATGGAAGAAAGTTTATGATCTTTGAGTTGAAGCTAGGAGGGGTGAAGTTACAGAGTTAATGCAGCTTGTGGAACATCTATGAGAGCCACTTTCTTTCATCACAGCTTTTTACTAATGTCTTGAATGTATAGCTATTTACTTATACCAACTCTATTTAATCTGCTGTGAACATACACCAGCTTCCTCATAAGTACCCCATTTGCACTTAACATACAGGCCATTGTCCTTCCTTACATACCTTTGTACACAGGACTCCCAGAACAAATCAAAGAAATCATCTCTTTGGTCAGAAAGACAGCAGACTCCAGAAGACCTTAAGATAGGTAGATCTTGCAAACTTGAGAAATGAAAGAGGCAACCAAGATAGAAATTCTTCCACTCCCTCTCTCCTTAGTAGCTTTTGAGACTCCACATAATCTGAGCCTGATTTGTTTGCATTTCAGAGGAGAAATGTCGTAGTTTCATTGAGCTTTCACCGCCTGCAGAAAGAGGTAAGAACAAATCTCTCTTTTTTCCTCTTAGAGCTGCTCAATGCACCTTCTAGAAATTGGGGGATGTATGCAGTTGAGAGGGGGCTGTAGGCACCTAAAGGTTTGGGTGAAATCTTGTCTTATTAAAGTCAAAGTACTGAGGATTTCACCTCAAATGTTTACCCAAAACATCTGGCATCAGCTCCAAAAAGCTAGAAATCTCAACCTTTCTCACATGATTTCTTGTACTCACTGCTATCAACCCAACTGGAAATGTGGCAAAGACAACCTTTTTTGTTGTATTTCAGCATGTCCTAGCCTTGTCAGAATTCAGAATGCACATAGGCAGTCAGTGTAAATCGTTAATATAAATTAAACACTGCTGTATCATTTACTCACCATACGATCTTGGGCATGTCACTTCTGTCAGAAATTTGAAACCTGGCCACATTTTGGGTCCCAAACTGAGGCACCAGAGCTTGAATTTCAGTTATTCTGAGCATCTGCTACTCTAGCTGAATAGGAGTGGTGATCAGAACCTCAATAATTTAAACCTAAGGGTGAAATCTTTGCCCCACTGAAGCCAATGGCAAAACTTCCATTGATTTCAGAGGGACCAGAATTTCATCCTATGTGTCTCAGTTTGGCCACTATTTTGGAGTGCCCCCTTTTGACAATGTTGGCCCTCCCTTCTCTTTACAGTGGTGCTAATAATGCTTCCCTCACCTCTGTAAGGCATCTTGAAATCTACACAAGCAAAATGGAATATGTAAGGAAAGCATTCTTAGTATTAAGAAGCTGCACGCCCAGAAGCATGCAAGAGACCAGCTTTCATTCTTACTCTGAGTCAGAAATCTCTACTGTAGTGTCAAAATCTAAAACACAGACTGGGCTTGTGGCCAGATTTCCATGGGCTGCTCTGCAGGGTGTAGTTAGGATCTGTGGGTTAGGATCTATGCAAGGGAGGGGCATTTTGTATGTTATTGTAAAGGGATTGAGTTCCGACAGAGGTCAGGGAGAGGGTAAGATGCTGTTTCATTTTATCTTTGTTCTTGCAACTCATGGCAGTGGCACCCAGAGCCTGGGCTATATTATATTAATTGTAACTAATTGACTATAATTAATTATAATGATAATTATAATTATTATTAATTATAGTAATTATAATTTACTTTATTATATTATATCCTGTTCTCCTTGGGAGAATAACAAATCTGTATTATTCCTGATGGTACTTGGTAGTTAAAAAATGAACTGCAGTCATAATGGGAGCTATTCCTACAGGGTAACTTAAATGTTTGTGCTGTGCCTAACCCCAAGTCTATTTTGTATGGATACAGTATTCAAGCATAAGATCATCTTCATAGTCTTCCTGTATCAATTAGGTGTAACAGAATAGGGTGTGTTATCCATGGTCCCCTACTAGGCTCAATCCTGCCTCACAGTAGGATTCTTTACTACTATAAAGGTATAGACAGAAAGTTTGCTGTATGCAAATAACAATTATTAATTATTCTAACAGGTAGAGCTACAGGCTAAATCAGCTCTACAACAGATGGACCAAAAATAGGAGTGGGAACTACTTGTGAACTTACAGAATGGAAATGGTACCCGGAAACCATTTAGATGCTTCCTAGTCCCTGTCTAAACCTAGAGGCTGTATCTAGACTGGCCAGTTCTTCCAGAAAATCAGCCACTTTTCTGGAAAAACTTGCCAGCTGTCTACATGTCAACATTCCTGTGGTGGGAAGAACACCTCAGCAGTCCAGCACCCTGGCATTTAATTTCAAAAAAGGGAATTATGCAAAAATGAGGAGGTTAGTTAAACAGAAATTAAAAGGCACAGTGACTAGAGCCAAATCCCTGAAAGCTGCATGGAAACTTTTTAAAGACACCATAATAGAGGCCCAACTTAAATGTAGACCCCTAATTAAAAAACATAGCAAGAGACCTAAAAAAGAGTCACCGTGGCTTAACCACCATGTAAAAGAAGCAGTGAGGGACAAAAAGGTATCTTTTAAGAAGTGGAAGTCCAATCCTAGTGAGATAAATAGAAAGGAACAGAAACACTGTCAAATCAAGTGTAAACATGTAATAAGAAAAGCAAAAAAAGATTTTGAGGAACAGCTAGCCAAAAACACATAAAGAAACAGCAAAATGTTTTTTAAGTACATTAGAAGCAGGAAGCCTGCTAAAAAACCTGTGGGTCCCCTAGATGATCGAGCTATAAAAGGAGCAATCAAGGACGATAAAGCCATTACGGAGAAACTAAATGATTTCTTTGCTTCAATCTTCACGGCTGAGGATGTTGGGGAGATTCCTGAATCTGCACCGTCCCTTGTGGATGATGAATCTGAGGAACTGTCCCGGATTGAAGTATCATTAGAGGAGGTTTTGGAACAAATAGAAAAACTTAATGTTAACAAATCTCCGGGACCAGATGGCATTCATCCAAGGGTTCTAAAAGAACTTAAATGAGAAATTGCTGAGCTATGATCTGTGGTTTGTAACCTATCCTTTAAATCGGCTTCCGTACCTAATGACTGGAAGGTAGCCAACGTGACACCAATATTTAAAAGGGGCTCTAGAGGCGATCCTGGCAATTACAGACCGGTAAGTCTAACTTCAGTACCGGGCAAATTAGTCGAAACAATAGTAAAGAATAAAATTGTGAAGCATGTAGAAGAACATAATTTGTTGGACAAAAGTCAACATGGTTTCTGTAAAGGGAAATCCTGTCTTACTAATCTATTAGAGTTCTTTGAAGGGGTTAACAAACATGCGGACAAGGGGGATCCAGTAGATATAGTATACTTGGATTTTCAGAAAGCCTTTGACAAGGTCCCTCACCAAAGGCTCTTGTGTAAATTACATGGCCATGGGATAAGAGGGAAGGTCCTTTCTTGGATTGAGAACTGGTTAAAAGACAGGAAACAAAGGGTAGGAATAAATGGTAAATTTTCAGATTGGAGGGGGGTAACTAGTGGTGTACCCCAAGGGTCAGTCCTGGGACCAATCCTTTTCAACTTATTCATAAATGATCTGGAGAAAGGGGTAAGCAGTGAGGTAGTAAAGTTTGCAGATGATACCAAACTGTTTAGGATAGTCAAGACAGAAGCAGACTGTGAGGGACTCCAAGAAGATCTCACCAAACTGAGTGATTGGGCAACAAAATGGCAAATGAAATTTAATGTGGATAAGTGTAAAGTAATGCACATCGGGAAAAATAACCCCAACTATACGTGCAGTATGATGGGGGCTAATTTGGCTACGACAAATCAGGAAAGAGATCTTGGAGTTATCGTGGACAGTTCTCTGAAAACTTCCACACAGAGTGCAGTGGTGGTCAAAAAGGCAAATAGGATGCTAGGAATTATTAGGAAAGGGATAGAAAATAAGAACCAGAATATCTTACTGCCCTGTATAAAACTATGGTATGCCCACATCTTGAATACTGTGTACAGATGTGGTCTCCTCACCTCAAAAAAGATATTTTGGCCTTGGAAAGGGTTCAGAAAAGGGCAACTAAAATGATTAGGGGTTTGGAACGGGTCCCATATGAGGAGAGGCTAAAGAGACTGGGACTTTTCAGTTTAGAAAAGAGGAGACTGAGGGGGGATATGATAGAGGTCTATAAAATCATGAGTGGTGTGGAGAGGGCTGATAAAGAAAAGTTATTTATTAGTTCCCATAATAGAAGAACTAGAGGACACCAAATGAAATTAATGGGGAGCAGGTTTAAAACTAATAAAAGAAAGTTCTTCTTCACACAGCGTGTAGTCAACCTGTGGAACTCCTTGCCAGAGAAGGCTGTGAAGACTAGGACTATAACAAGAGTTTAAAAAGAAGCTAGATAATTTCATAGAGGTTAGGTCCATAAAAGGCTATTAGCCAGGGGATAAAATGGAGTCCTTTGCCTCTGTTTGTCAGAGGCTGGAGAGGGATGGCAGGAGACAAATCGCTTGATCACTGACTTTGGTCCACCCTCTCTGGGGCACCTGGTCCTGGCCACTGTCGGTAGACAGGATACTGGGCTAGATGGACCTTTGGTCTGACCCAGTATGGCCGTTCTTATGTACACTGTCCACTTGAATTTCCGCAAAAGCACTGACTTCCTACTGTAAGAAATCAGTGCTTTTTGCGGAAGTACTATGCTGCTCCCATTTGGGCAAAAGTCCCTTTGCGCAAAACTTTTGCGCAAAAGGGCCAGTGTAAACAGCTGAGATTTGTTTTCCGCAAAAAAGCCCCGATCGTGAAAAAGGTGATCGGGGCTTTTTTGCGCAAAAGCGCGTCTAGATTGGCCACAGATGCTTTTCCGCAAAAAGTGCTTTTGCAGAAAAGCGTCCGTGCCAATCTAGATGCTCTTTTCCGAAAATGCTTTTAACGGAAAACTTTTCCGTTAAAAGCATGTCCGGAAAATCATGCCAGTCTAGACGTAGCCAGACTGTAAACTAGGGAGAACAGCTCATTCTCAACTTCTTCTGCATTGGGTCTCTGTGGCTGATTTGGGGACAATCTAAAGCTCACGCTTCTTTCACTGGAGTAGTAGCTGGAAGGAGATGGGCACCTGCAGTCTTGAGCCCTCCTTAGCTTGAGATTTACAAGGCAGCTCATGCTTTTCCTATATACTTTCCTCAGCCCAAGGAGTGGGAGCTCACATTCTTGGCTCAGAGCCAGACTCCTAGTACAGCTTCTGTGCTGGAAGGCAATCCAGCTCCAGCCTTGTTATTTAGCCAGGGCTGAAAAGAAGCTTCTGGAACATGCGTTCCTGGTCTCCTGAGTGATACTATGATGTCACCTGTCAAGTACATGGCTAAGATTCCAAACTTCCTAGTTGCACAGGGGATGAGACAGAGGTCCTGAATGTTTGATTTTCAAATAGTTTTGTACAAATCCCAATTAGTGTCCATAAGTGTAATTGGAATAGCTTAGAATATCCTGTAGGAGAGTAAAATAATGTCTCTAGAAGTTAGGGTAGTGTACCGTGTATCTCCTACTTCATACAACAGCCACAGCTGTTGTTGTTATATAGTACAATATAAAATAGGGCCCGGAGGGGAGGCGGGGGAATCTTGGCTGTATTCCATCCCTTTTTCACTTCAGGACGCAACTGGTCCTCTCCCATTTGGAAATGGTGAAGGGAAGGCTCCTTGGGTGGCATACAGGCTCTATGTTGCATTCTCCCCATAGCTCCTGACCTAGGGTCATGCCAGAGGTAGGTATGTTGGGGGAAGGCGGGAGTGTAGCTGAAATTCACCAGACTCTGTCTGTTTGAACTCTTTGACAGTTCTAAAGCCACCTCTCCACTCCCTGGCATGAAAGGTACAGCTCAATTTGAGGGCGAGGATGTGTATTAGTAGTAGTAGTGGTTAGAGCAGGGGTCAGGGAGGCAGGAGATATGAGAACAGAGATGGTACAGGCCCCTGGGCATAAGTTTGTTTTCTGAATTCTACTCAGCTGCCCTAGAGGTAGCTGTGTAGAGGACCCATGTCAGACCTATGCATATAATTTAAACCCTAATTAGAAGGTGTAAGTGGTACATACATTCTCTTCAGGCCATCTTCACAGGCTGCATGACACCCCTGCAGAACAGCCGCATTCTTTTCAGCTGATGTTCGTATTCGCTCCGCATTGTTCAGTGGGGAACATCTGGAGTCTTCTCTCTCTTCCCAGTTTACGGTGGGAATCCTTTGGGTCAGGGTAGGGAGGGCTGTGGCAGGTCATGACCCTTATTTATGCTGACTGAGAGTTCTCTTCTTTCCTGTTTTGTGGCAGGAATCCTGTGGCTGTCACTGGGGTCAGAAATGGTCTACATCAGCTTGCTGCTCATTAGTTTCATCCTACTGCTGGTTGAACTGCTGTACACAGGGAATCCAGTCTGTGGGCTGAAGCTCAATGCCTTTGCTGCAGTCTCCTCTGTGCTGTCAGGTTGGTGCCCCAGTTACAGGCATGGGCTCATGAAGGCATTTTTGGGTGGTAGCATGAGCAGCCCTGGGCAGGGAATGACGCTCATCAAGGAATGGGTTCAAGAAGTCCTTAGTGCGGTCAAGACCTCATACATTCATTAGCCTCAGTGCATCAGTGGTGGGGGTGGGAAGGGGAGGCAAAAGGGCCAGAGTTGGGGAGAATAAGGGGGAATCAGAGGAAAGACGATGACATTGAGAGGGGGAACAGGGCTCAGGGGCAGAGGTTAGTTAGCTGCTGGACCTGCTGAGCAGAAGGGTGAAGAGCAGAAGGATGAATTTGGTCCTAAACCTTAGCTCCTAGATAGACCAACAAAGCACCTGGCCCTCGGCTGTGCTAGGACAACTTTGCCTTCTTGTCATCTTGCTTTAGGTTTGCTGGGGATGGTGGCTCACATGATGTATTCACAAGTCTTCCAAGCGACTGTCAATTTGGGGCCAGAGGACTGGAGACCACACTCGTGGGACTATGGCTGGGCTTTCTAGTATGTGCACTGTGAAGCTCCCTTCACATCCCTTTGGCTGTAGGCCTCAGTACCAGTCCACCCCTTCCAAATGCACCAATTTAGCCCCTTTACCCCCAAAGACAGCTCCTGTATAGCTTCATCAGGGCTGCTGCTTTGCCATCCTTGTCTTTGCCTCAATGTGTGATGGAGGGTGACCATTAGGTCTCATCCTGTCCATTCCCCTGATTCTATGCAGGATTGCTCCCTGAAACATGTAGTCCCCAGAGTTTTGTCTTGTCCCATTTTAAATGACACAAGATATGGAGGTTCTACCAGATACCTTGAGAAATCATTCCACTGTTTAACGGATCTTCCTATTTCAACAAAAATGATAAAAGGGTTAGAAAACCTAACCTATCAATTCAGGAAAATGAAAAACAAACTGGGCATGGTTGGTCATGAGAAACAAAAACTTAGAGGGGAGTCTTCTAATTGACTTCAAATATATAATGGACTGTTATAAGCAGGGCTTGACAAACGGCGGTGAAAGCTGCTTGCCAGCTCCACACTGTGCATGCACAAGAGCCGCATTGCACATGCGTGCGTCGCCGGTAAACAGGGCTGAAATCTACTTGCCATGGGCGATTAGATGCTATAGTTTGTTGAGCCCGGGTTATAAGGATGGTGATCAAGTAGGATAAGGAGCAATAGGCTTACTCTGCTGCAAGTGAGACTGAGGTTGGATATTAGGACAAGCTTTTCAACTATAAGGGTAGCTAAGTTCTGGAATAGGTTACCAAGGGAGGCTGTGGATTTTAAGAACAAGTTGGATGAACATCTGTCAAAGATGCTCTAGGTTTCCGTGATCCTGCCTCAGTGCTGGTCGAACGGTCCCTTGAAGTCTCTTCCAGCTCAACATTTCAGTTCAGTTTTAATATAAACAGGTGCAAGCTTAGGGTTCAGCCTCCCATGACATAGGGATTTAAGTGACTAGTCAATTATCTGATAAGCAAAAGCTTATTGGATAATTGATTAGTACCTTGACTAGTCGCTTCCCCCACACCTTCTATCAGAGGCAGCAAGGTCGGGGGAGCAGGAGCTGGTGCTGGGGGGAGCTGGCATAAAAGCTGTGGAGGGTAAGGGAAGCAGGGGGGTAGCAGGAACTGGGTGCAAGTCGGAAATCAGTTGATTCCTGGCTCACGCCCAGTCCTAGACGCTGCACCTCTGCTTTTTAAATGTATTAAGAGCAGCGGAGGGCACCTGGCGCGAGCTGGGACAGCTGATTCTCGATTCGCGCCGGGTCCCCCAGCTGTGCTCCAGCCTTTTTACAGTTAAGGCTGGTGCACAGCGGGGGGACCTGGTGCAAGCTGGGAATCAACTGTCCCAGCTTGCGCTGGGTCCCCCCACTGCACTTCAGCCTTTTAAATGTATTAAGAGCCTTGCTCTTAATACATTTAAAAGGCAGAGCCACTTTGGATTTAGCTCCCAGGGCCAGGAGATAACCCTGCTGCAGCTCCCCTGTTTATCTACTAATTGACTAGTCAATGGAAAATCCATTGAGTAGTTGATAAACTAAATTTAACATCCCTACCATGATATCCCACATGGCTGGCTGCACCCACCCACGAGGGGTGCCAGGTGTGCTATCAAAATGATTCTGCAGAATCCCTCTTTCGTGGTTTCACAGTCTCCATTATTACACTTTCTCTGCAATGATGGGCCTGCAGTTCTGACCATAAACACCTTAATACTAAATCCAACTTACTTCTCCATATGCAGCAGTATGACAGCTCTACAAATTCCCATCACCACGGCGTAAGAGGATTTTCATAAGTGTAGCGAACATGTATTAATGCAGCTGGCACTCGTGCATCCAAGATACTGAGCACAGTGCCTACTGCTCACTATTGGCCCTATACAGACAAGAATCACAGGATGCACTGTCTCTTCCACAGGTTAACAGGAACCACCTATTTAAGCTGAAAATAGGCAACAAGTTGTCCCTCTAATATTGTTTTGAGAGTCCCTGGGTATGGCTCAAAGAGGTGTTGGGAAATTCTGGGATCGGGGGACAAATAGAATACAAAATCTTTCAGACGTGACTGGTACCTTAAATTTGGGGTCCTTCTTCTAGCAGTGGCTAGTACCTAATGTTCTGGAGGGACAGAGAACTCTAATAAAAACATCTGGCCAGTGGTGCTATGTTGCAGAGCTAAAAGGGAGGCAGAAATATTCTTTCCTGACCCAGACAGTAATCAGCAAATAGCCTGAAGCATGGGTTTAGTTTACCAGAACTACATTATGGGCCATAAAATGATCCAGGCCTTATTAAATCTAGTTGCAATGTTTGGCTTTGGAATCTTCTCTGCATTGTATTCCACTGACTGGTTACTGTGTGAAGTATTTTTTTCCACTGGTTTCAATTTTACTTGTCATTAACACTAAGGGACTTTTAATCAATCCCAGTTCAAGACTGCACAGTATAAAAAAGAGGGCCTGATCAGTTTTCACTGTGCCCTTCTTAATCTCTTCTCTGATCAGCTCCCTAACGTCTGCCACACTAAACAACCTTATTTACATATTTCTCCTTCTCAAGCCTAGCTGCTCTGATCAGGAGTTTCTTAGTTTCAAGTCTATCTTAAAGTAATATGATCAAAACTGAACACAAATGATTAATATTATTCTGTCCATTATGATGTTCTCCAAAATACCTTTTTTCAGTTTAACTACAACTGCATGCTGGGCAGGTATCCCCAAGGACCCATGATGAGTCCTGAATATTTATTCCTTGGAAAATCTTGCAGTGTCAAACCTAGACAGACATACACAGCTTTTTATGTTTTGGGTGGTTTTTTTGGGGCCAGTGCACATAACATTAACTAACTTGAATATGAAGGGTGATTTTCTTTCTACAGTGATCCTACGAAAAAAGCATATCAAAAGCTATTTGAAAACAAGCAACATGTCCAACAAGGTTATAGATAGTGGTTAATGTAACTGAGGAGGACTGCAGAATAAATAAGAGCCTCGGGATCTCCCTGGCTGGCCTATTACTCTATGGAGTCTGCTTTGTCATCATGTTTTCCAGATGCAGGTTTTCCAGAGCCCTCCTGTCATTTTCTCATGCCGCATCTATTTTTTTCTTATGGTATTTTCCCCTACATCTTTTTCTGTAGTGTAGGTTACAGAGCTATCAACACTTTTCCCCCACTGTGGGAGGGGGGCAGGAAGGGAGGGGTAATGGAGGCAGGATAAAGCTCTAGAACCATTTGGGTCAGAGCTAGAGCTTTGATCTATCTAGTTCAGTGTTTCTCAACCAGGGGTACTCGAGAGAAGTCTGGGGGGTACGTCAACAAAACTAAAATTTGGAGAAAACTGAATTTTTGTTTTAAGTTTTACAGCGCTTTATTATTTTTGTACTTTTTACACCCAAAAATTTCATCGCCTGCCTGGCTATGATTAAATTGTTTAAACAGACATGTTGCAATGGTAGAAAAAAAAATTGTGTGTCAGAAAACTGTAGGTACTGGGGGTCCTTTTTTTTTTTTTTTTTAAAGGGGTACTTTTTAAAAAAAGGTTGAGAAACAGTGATCTAGTTGATGTCCATTAGCTCCCTGCAATGCATCTGGTTCATTTCTTGACCCTGACACACTTCTCCGACAATAGAGGACTTCATTAAGATCCTCATTGCTTC